TAGCTATTTGCACTTAGTGTAAATAGCATCTATCGCTAAGAAAATGCTGATATTTCCACTTAGTGTAAATAGAATCCATTGCAACTTACACTTAGTGCAAATAGAATCCATTGCAACTTACACTTAGTGCAAATAGCCACTGCGTTTGATTTTTTTTATTCAATTATTGTTTATTTTGATAATATTTAATCTTTTAAAATGTTTAATTTAATGTGTGTAATTTTAGTTTGTAATTTATTTATTTTTTGCTGTAGAGCTACAATTGTAATTTGTAAATAATACAATTTAATTACAATTTATTTATTTATTTACATTTATGTTTTATTAAAGTTCAATTTTGACCCCTATAGTTGGTGTGTTTTTCTTTTTTATTATTTCCAAAATATTTTGGGGAGGGGGCACAACAATACAATTCTGCTTAGGGCACCCGGCCAGCAGCAACAATAATGTACAGTATGTGGAAAATAATGTGTTTTTTTAACTTTAAACCGCATAAACACATTTCATTACACCAAATACACAAAATAATGTTCTTTTTAGCAGCATCATATGACCCCTTTAAAGACTGACATTTAGACAAGAATAAAATGTCACGATTGTTCTAAGCCAATGAGAGATAACCTGAGTAGTCAACGAGTCGATTATCCTCGTTTTTTTTATCGCGCTTTTTTTAGAGCCTCTGATTCTGAAATAAAGCAACAGCTGCCTTGCTCTCGCGAGAGTATTGGCACGTATCAGCATGTCGTCACATGAACCCCGCCCCCTACAGACATGATCACCTGTGAGCGGTTCTGAGCAGAACCTGCTTATATCAAAAGAGCCAATAGTATCACGGTTTCTTCCACCTCACTGTGTTCTGCACTGTGGCTGTTTCTAGTTATTTATTTATTAACTGATTTAACTCTTTGTTCTCTGGATCAACTTTGCCATTTGTTGCATTTTGTGCTTGTATGTTTTTATTTGTGTTTGTGTCGCTCTATGTATGTCATTTATAGCTACTCTAAAACCAGGCCAATAAAGTTAATCTCAATCTGAATGTTTGAATATTGACAAAAAAAGTGTTATAGCATCATCCATTCATTTGTTTGCGTCTGTTCTGCATTAATGTGCATCAATGGTTTATATTATTATTTGACAAATTGTTTCATAATTGCTCTGTTATGGTCTCAGACATTTTATTTTATTTATTAATTTAACAATGGTCGATCAAATCTGAGCGGAAACACCACAGTCACTTAGACTTGTGTGTTCAGATGGCTAGCGTAGGAAAAGTCACCAGGCCTTGTGGAAATGTCGATATATTATATTATATCTGCTGATGTCCTATCTGATTAAAATGACCGAACAGAACAGATGGGTTAAAACATAAACAAAATGGCAGCAGCTGGAATGTGAAAAGATCCTTCCACACGTGCATCAGATCTTTGCACATATAAAATGTATTCTTTTTTATGTGTATAAAATAACACTATGAGACGTATGTTTGGAAACCAATATTTCGAATCAAAAAAATTGTAAACAAACATGCCTTTTTTATTTAATGCAAATCGAGCTTCGTGTACACCTTACCTTACACGATGTTGTGTATTGGACACAAATCCTTTATGGACTCCTTTGGTGTCCTGGTCTTCCCATCTATTGCAGAAGCTTTCGGTCTGCTTGAGGAACACAGATGCATGTGATTAGCACACAACACGAGCGCTGCATTCAGACGGAAACATCCATGTGCTGATTACTGCAAGATCTATACCTACTGTCTCCTTGAGTTTAGGTGCAGATATGACCGTAATGTTATAATGGACCAGTTCAGCAGTCCTCATGTCCAGCGCATGCGCCCTCTGGTGATGCACATGCACACAGTCATGCAGATGTTGCACACAACGGAATCATGTCTGAAGAACAATTTCGAAGTTCCCCGGATGTTAGATAAGGAAATTTGTGAATATGCATGTGACAATATTGCAATTTAACTGGAACGTTGCAATCAATACGGTCATGGGCTGTTTTTTTATATGATTTGGGATGTTAAATATTGGATTCCATTATAAGCTGCATAAAGCACAAATGAAACAGCTATGCATACACATAACTATTTGATAATCCTTTAATTATTGTTGAGGAATGTATCAGCATTCGAAAACCACAGGTTGCAGGTTCAGAATACAGTTAGGAAGTGCCTAAAACTGAGGTAATAATAACACTATGTTATCAATTAAACCTGTGCAAAGGTACATGGAGTTTACTATCAGAGTTACTATCAGAAATAGTGTCGAAACATATTAGCTAGTTAATGATTGATTGATTGATTGATTTGCGATATTTAATCACTGTGCGCTCTCTTGTGGTCAGAATAGTAAAAATGCGACATTTATTCCGGTCTCTCAACTTTAATGAAAATGAATTCATTCACTCATTCAGTAATAAATAAAAGAACGCGACAATGCAAAAATTATTACAATTTACTTTTTTTTTTTTTTTTTACATTTTGGTCACTAATCAGATTTGACCACTAGTGGCCGCCACAGACCACTAACAACCTTCCGGTCAGATCCATTCACAATAATTCCATCCAAAGATATGTCTGTGTTAACATTATTATTGATGAAAATATATTAAAGAATTCGGTCTCAAAATTACGCATTTTTATCACAAGTCAACACATTTTCTGCCTCTCCCTACCTGAAAGACAATTGTTTTACAATCAAACTTGTTCTGCAACAAAAGTCCCATGCATGCTTTCATAAATCCACATTTTCCCCCACTTTCTTTGATGCCACCCCATTTTAATTGTTGTTGAACTTGCTAATTTACATTATTCAGATGTCATGTCAAAAGTCACTGTAATTAAAGTGTTTGGGTGCAGCTTCGTGTTGAACTGCCTCACCCATCATCATCATCATCACTAGTGTGAGATCATCCAGACAAACACGAAATCCCTCATTTCCCTTTACCACGGAGGAATGCTACACATTAAAACGGTTCAGGTAAGAGACTGTCATCACTTTGATTTCTCTAAAGCCCACTGCATTGAGATTATTTGTGTTGCATTTAGAGTATTTAGCTTCTCTGGCTAATGTCGGCTGCTAGCCAGTTTGTTATGGCGTGAAGTCGCAGCCACGTAGAAACACAAATACACTGAATTACTGACTGAAAACAGACATTTTGGTATTTATTTTATGGAATACAATGTGAAATTCGTGGATAGTTGTGATATTTGTTTTGACAGGTATCGTTTGGCTAGTTATCGTTAGCTCGCTAAAAATAAACAATAACAACAATATTTAGTCATGTTAACGGTCCAGTCCAAATTGATTGAAATCGTTGATTACATTTAAGCGTCATTAACTCTTCTTCTTCTTTTTAATATTTAACGTTAGATAATAACCAGAACCAAAAGTACAGGTAACTTTATTTACTCTTTCTTAAAATGAAACGAATAACTACTGATTTATTATTAATGGATAAAGTAAACAATTATGTTATAATTGGTGTTACGAAAAAGTGCTTTGGTGGTAGTAACATGGTAAAATGGCAGTGTCAGATTATATTACCATGGTACATGTCCACGAAGACATGTAATGCCAAGGTAGTACCATGGTACTTTTTTGTAAGTGAGTTTTTTAACCGTTAAACTTGATTGTGTGTCATGTTGTGGATTAGTGTAAATATAAATGATTTTGTACTCAGGATTAACTGTCATTAGCTGACACAAATAGCCTTGGTTACCATGGTAACAACAGTTCCCACCAAACTACCATAGTGACGGCAGTTAGAACGTAAATCATCATAATATGGATTCTTCCTTCAGCAGTCACTAACAAAAATATCATGGTAACACCATGCATTTTATAAACAATACTGTGACAGTAATGGTTTTACCATGCATAAACATAATTGATTTATTACCATGATATGTAGCAAAGCAATACCAACACATCCACCTCATGTTTTAAGGCGGAAGTAAGCTATTTCCTGTGAATGTGCCGGACTTCTGATTCATTAGCTGCTATGGAATACCAGCATGGGTGAATAACAGTGCAGTAAACGGTTTGCGCAACAGTCTAGTTTGTTTATGGTTACAATAATTAAAATCATATGATAACAAATACCAGTTTGTAGCAGCACAACGGACTGTTTTGTACATCTAAAACAACTGAAAGCAGCCTACACCGGAAGCTTTGCACATTAACGTTACAAATAGTTGTGGCCCCTCTTGCTTTAAAGTGGGCATGAAATGAAAATTTACCATATCTATTTTCTAAATGTGTGTTATGGATATTAGTGTGAGCAATTAATTTGTGCGCGTTTCATTTGTACTTTTTTTTGACCTTATAATTACATTTTTTAAATATTAATTGCTCTATGATGTAACCCCGCCCCTACAAGCACATGCTAGAGTGCCCACGCCCACATCTCAACATCCAATCAACGACCGGTGGATAGAACCAAGTCCTGCCTTTTTCGATAACCATTAAAATGTATGTCACAATACAGAATAAATATCTGTTGCTATTTCAGTTTCATCATGACTTCACAATTGACCCTTCGCAAAAACCCGCCCTCCTTAGTTAGTATTGCTATGTCCGACAAGCCATGCCGCTCTCACACTACGCATCATGTTCTCACGCAGTGAAAAATACATTGCGGAGCACAAGACACAACAGGTTATTTCTGGTATGAAACAAAGTCTTAGATTTATAATTTTGGCATTTTTAAGAAATGCAAACAATAAATACCTTTCGTGGATCTTTAATGTGTCGTGACAGATCGCTGTATTGCCTCAGTTCAAGCGGCACATAAACTGATCGTCTTTTCATATTTACTTAAAGCACCAAATAAACATGAATGAGCATCAGAACTTATTTCAACCGCGGAAAGACGTCAATACACACAGTTTGTCCACTGAATTTAATCTACTCTCCTGTCTGATTTGTTTGTCGGATAAAATGGCAGGTTTTGGCATTATGATTGGTCAGATTGCATGTCAGTCAAGCTCTTTGCAAAAGGTCAGTTATTATGGATACCATGGTTCTTGGTTTATCACACAATAAAACAACTAAACGCAATAAAACTGTATTCTGAACTATTCTAAAACTGTATTCTGAACTATGTATTCTGTATTCACCATTTTCTTCTGTTAGGGAATCGGATCTGGTCAGGGAGAGTTGTCATTCTTCCAGGCTCTGCAGGAATAGCACATTTGTGTGCATAAAGCAGGGAAAATGAGTACGGGGAAGCCGAGTGGTCTCAAACCACCCACCAAGATTGGTAAACCAGCTGCGACGCCAACCAAAACCTCGCCCACCTCAGGTGAGTCACCCATTGGTTACATAAGAGACACACTGATTCAGTGCTGACGTGCTCTTATTTTTTTTCTGATTGTAGCTGGCGCCAAGGCTGTAACATCCCCAACCTCTAATACGGCCCAAGATGCTGCGTCAGATTTCTCTGTTGGCGAACGAGTTTGGGTCAATGGAAATAAACCGGGTTATGTGCAGTTCATCGGAGGGACCCAGTTTGCACCGGGCCAATGGGCGGGAATAGTTCTAGACGAGCCCATCGGGAAGAACGATGGCTCTGTGGCCGGAGTGCGCTACTTCCAGTGTGAGGACTTGAGAGGTATATTTACTCGGCCCTCCAAACTGTCCCGCACTCCCGTACCAGAGCGTGAGGCCAATGGCACACAGACGCCCACCAACAAGACATCCACCTCCCCTGCCAAAGATCCCGTTCCTGTCACTCAAACCATTAGTGCAACCACCAAGACCTCAACAAACCTAACCAGGGCCGCCAGCGAGTCTGCATCCAATCTGTCTGAGACAGATTCGGCCAAGAAGTTGCAGCGGGAACTGAAGTTGGGTGATCGTGTTCTGGTAAGACCGTCTCCTGTCTGTCTTCATGCTTAGTGGCTTATTGTGGGAAGTTTGAGGGAACTTTTTGCTTGCACTTCTCAGGTTGGTGGAACCAAGGCAGGTGTTGTGCGTTTCCTGGGCGAAACTGACTTTGCGAAAGGTGATTGGTGCGGTGTTGAGTTGGATGAGCCTCTTGGCAAGAATGATGGGGCAGTGGCTGGTGCAAGGTAAGGCCACAGTTTGCCAGAATTACATAAGATCAACTCGTGGGAAAAGGATGATCTGTTTTAAAACACATTTATAAAACAGATCTTTCAGGTCTTTACTTATCTAGATGAATCTAACCCGAGTTTTAAAGGGGTCATATGATGCTTTTTTAAAGATCATTATTTTGTGTATTTGGTGTAACAGAATATGTTGACATGCTTTAATGTTCAAAAAACACATTATTTTTCAAATAATGTACATTATTGTAGGTCCTATATGCCCCGCCTCTCTCAAGCGCTTCGTATAAAGAATATCTCTTTGTATTTGAGACTTTAGTCTTTGCAACTTCAGGGATCTTATCTATGCACAATCAGCTTGTAACACTCCAAAGAGAAAGGAAAACTTGAAATCGCATCATATGACCCCTTTAAGATATTCTTGATATCTCCATTGAAACAATAGAAGAGATGTGTAAGATTACTAGGGTCTTTTTTTCAGCTATATATCATAAAGTTCACTTTTCATGTTCAATTCCAATGGAAAAAAATGTGAAAAATCCAGTTTTATTGTGAAATCTTTCACATTATGGAAGTAAAATGGGTTGTTAGTACTTTTTTGTGGTGGCTTTAACCTTGGGTTACTCTGAACTGTCTTTATGGGAAGTTATTGTAAGCTAAATGATAAAGAAGATCTTAGCTATTCCCCAGACAGCTTATACGCTGACATTCAAAAGTAATTTTCTTAAAAATTTTTTGAAAGAAATTATTACTTTTATTCAGCAAAGACACATTAAATTGATCAAAACTGATAGTAAAGATATCTATAATATTACTATAATGTTACACAGGAATAAATATAATAAATATGACTATATTAAAATAGAGAACACTTATTTTAAAGTGTAATAATATTTTACAATAGTCTTGTTTTTATTGTATTTTTGATCAAATAAATGAAGTCTTGGGTGAGCATAAGAGACTTTTTTCAAAAACATTTAAAAGTCATACCAACTCCAGACTTTTGAGCAGTACCAGTATATTTATATGCTTCACTCCCATAGATACTTCCAGTGCCTACCAAAGTATGGACTGTTCGCTCCTACTCACAAAGTCACCCGCATTGGATTCCCGTCCACCACTCCTGCTAAATCCAAATCCTCCAGGCGCAGGTCAACCCTAAAGAACAGCCCCAGCGCGTCCTCCATCAGCTCCCTCAGCTCTGTCACCTCCTCAGTTGGAGGCAAACCCAGCCGAGCAGGCCTGGTACAGTCCCACACCTTTCATTGACATTTTATGCTTTTCTTTAAATATTATTTGAAATAATACCTGTCAATAATCTCTCAGCTCACAGAGACGTCGGCTCGGTACGCACGGAAGATCTCAGGCACCACGGCCCTGCAGGAGGCCCTGAAGGAGAAGCAGCAGCACATCGAGCAGCTCCTGGCCGAGCGGGACCTGGAGAGGACGGAAGTGGCACGAGCCACAAGTCATGCCGGAGAGGTGCAGCAAGAGCTGGCGCTGCTCAGACAGGGCCAGGAACAGGTCGGTAGCTATTCTATCATCATTATGTGAAAGTCATAATTTTTTTGGATGATAAACGAGACTCTGTTTTTGCGTGTTTTTGAAGTATGCTGTGGAGATGGAAGCCAAGTTGGACCAGTTGCGGAGACTCGTGGAGACTGCAGACAGAGATAAAGTGGAGCTGATGAATCAACTGGAAGAGGAAAAAAGGTAATATTTATCATTAAAAATACTTTGTATAGTAATTGATTGCTACTGAAGAACATGGAATATTCTGAATATCTGAAGAAACATTTGAGGGCTTAAAGTGTACTTTTTGGCCCACAGAAAAGTGGAGGACCTGCAGTTCCGTGTAGAGGAAGCTTGCATTACCAAAGGTGACCTAGAGGTAAAGTGATCCTATCATATACGTTTACAATGAAAGAAACTGGATATGAGCTGACCAGTGCAGTAACCTGTCTTTAACAGACCAGCCTGTGTTAATGCAGAAATGATCAGATCAGGTTTTTATACTTATATTTTAGACAAATTCACAGGAGAAAAGTAGATATATTTAAAGATGAGATCAGTGATTCATTCATAGAAAGGTATTTGTAAACTAATGACCACAATTATAGATAGATAGATAGATAGATAGATTCATAGATTCATAGATTCATTGATTCCTTAATTCATTAGTTCAGTGAATCATTGATTCATTCATAGAAAGGTAATTGTAAACTAATGACCACAACTACAGATAGATAGGTAGCTAGATAGATTCATTAATTCAGTGACTCATTGATTCAGTGATTCATTCATAGAAAATAATTTTTAAACTAATGACCACAACTATAGATAGATTCATTGATTCATGAATTCATTACTTCAGTGATTCATTTATAGAAAGGTATTTGTAAACTAATGACCACACTGATGGATGGATGGATGGATGGATAGATAGATGGATAGATGGATAGATAGATTCATTAATTCAGTGATTTATTCATAGAAAGGTATTTGTAAATGATTGACCACTATAGATGGATAAATTCTTTCATTCATTCATTTTGTCTCAAGATCAAATTGTTAATTACATGAGGATCAAGTTCTTCAAAAATCACTTTTGAGAAGATCTATTAAACTTTCTTTCATAAGTAATAAACAGTGCATCACTTCTGTTTCTAGTTCTTGTAGCATTGATTCTTTGATACTTCATTTCCCTTATTTTCTTTATTTGTTCATTCATTCACTGCATTCTTCTTTCTTCATCTTTGATCACGTTTACACATTTAATTCCTTCCTTCATTCTTTTATTATTGACACCCTCCATCTTTCTTTCATCGGCCTGCTCTTTGAGCCGCATTTGTTTCATGTCTTGGTGTTCTTGGTTTTTTTAATGCGATCTTCCGTCTTCACGCCGCTCTCTGTGTGTCACTGCTGTCTTTGTCCTCATTCATAGAGGAGGATGATGTCAAGGTCTGCATGAAGCTCTTCGTACTTGGCTTTTGGCTGACACGTGACCGCGCCGTTGGTGTTGTCTCTCTCTTTTCCTCTTCTGTCTACTAACAGACGCAGACCAAAATGGAGCATGCCCACATTAAGGAGCTCGAACAGAGTCTTCTCTTTGAAAAGACCAAAGCAGATAAACTCCAGAGGGAGTTAGAGGACACTAGGGTAAATCAGTCTGTCATATGGGAGGGTGAGAGAGATTTCTCTTGGGGTAAATGTCAGATCCCCATGCACGGAAGAGATTTTGCTTATTTTGGGAAAGTGATTATTTTTTTATTCCATGATGGATTGAGGTAGGTCTCTTTTTTTGTAAGCACCACTGGATGCATCTCTGCAAGTCGTTTTTCATCCCAAAATCAAGTGAAGAAAATAAGAAATTGTTTTGCATAAAGAATATTTTTAGTTCAATTTTTTTTTTTAGGTCCATTTAGGGACCCCATGTAGGGGTCCATGTAGGTTTTTTTCATGACATTTAAACACATTTTCATCACAATTCTCAATAGCCTAATGTAATTTGGGAAAATATATATGATTTAAAGTGTAAAGTGCATTTTATAGGTATATTTGTAGGTTTACACTACTGTTCAAATTTGGAGTCAATAAGATTTTTAAAATGTTTTTGAAAGAAATCTCTTCTGCTCACCAAGGCTGCATTTATTTGATCAAAAATACAGTAAAAACAGTAATATTGTGAAATATTATTACAATATAAAAAAATGTTTTCTGTTTTAATATATTTAAAAATGTACCTAATTCCTGTGATGGCAAAGCTGAATTTTCAGCATCATTACTTCAGTTTTCAGTGTCACATGATCCTTCAGAAATCGTTGTAATATGCTGATTTGCTGCCCGCCAAAAAACATTTCTTATTATTATCAATATTAAAAACTATAGAAGCTTGTTTTCACTATTTGCTGCAGAATTCGCTAGATTTATGCTCAATACAAGTATCTTGCTCAAATGCAAGATACAAACTCACAATTCTGAGAAGAAAAAAGAAAAAGAAAAATGTATTGCTTGAAAGAAATTCTGAGAAAAAACTTAGAATTCAGAGGAAAAAAAATCTAAATTGCAAGATTTTTTTCTGTCACCTTTGATTTGAATGCAGTCTTACTAAATAAAAGTATTAATTTCTTTTTTTAAAAGTCCTTTGAATGATAATACATATTTTGTTTTTCAAATTGCGAGATATGAAATCAGAATTTTTTTTACTGTCACCTTTGATCAATTTGAATGCAGTCTTACTAAATAAAAGTATTCAAAAGTCCTTTTGAATGATAGTACATACTTGTTTTTCCTGGCATGATGATTTTTCTTAAATTTTTCCCACATGACCATAATGTGAATCTGAAATGGATCTAATTTGATTAGATAATTAAATTAATGAGAAAATAGTAGATGTTTCTTATACAGAAAATATCTAGTTTAATTATAATGGCTCCAGTCGCCCCGGTTTGGTCACTATAAGCGGTTGATGAAGTCGTGTGTCCCACTGTAGGTTGCCACAGTGTCCGAGCGCTCCAGAATCATGGAGCTGGAAAAGGAGGTGTCCGATTTGCATCTTCAGCTGAGAACTCTCCGGGCTGAGACCGCGGGATCAGCCTCACCTCCATTACAAGACAAAAAGGTCCATTCAACCCCCTTGAATCCATCTAAACAAGATGCATTATGACATGTTATTGTACATCAGAAAACATTTGCATCATTAGAATTGATCACTATATTCTCTGCATTCTTATAGATCAAGGAGCTGAACTTTGAATTGGAAAACAGACAGAAGGAAGTGCTCATATTCCAGCAGAAACTCGCCTCCTCTGAACAGGAGAAAACATCCCTCCAGCAGCAGCTGCAAGATCTGGTATTCAACACTAATACTGCTTATTAGTGTTGGGGACTTATTAGTGTTAGCTGGGGCAGTCGTGGCCTAATGGTTAGAGAGTCGGACTTGTAACCCGAAGGTTGCGGGTTCGAGTTTCCGGTCCGGCAGGGATTGTCGGTGGGGGGAGTGAATGTCCAGCGCTCTCTCCACCCTCAATACCACGACTGAGGTGCCCTTGAGCAAGACACCGAACCCCCAACTGCTCCCCGGGCGCCGCAGCATTGGCTGCCCACTGCTCCAGGTGTGTGTTCATGGTGTGTGTGTGCGTGTTTGTTCACTACTCACTGCTGTGTGTGTGCACTTGGATGGGTTAAATGCAGAGTACAAATTCCAAGTATGGGACACCATACTTGGCCACACGTCACATCACGTCCTTTCCTTTCCTTCCTTTTTTTTTTATTTACTAACCTGAAATACCTTTTTTTTTCACATAATGGCGCTATGTATTTTTAAAGGTTTCTGTATCTTGTGCTGTACTTGCGCCTCCCTCCAGACCATATGGTGATCTAATAACAGCTTTTTATATTATTGAATTATTTAGATGTGCCTGGGGATACATACTTTTCTCTCAAATTAAGTGTTATATCATTACAAATACTTGTCTTTTAAGCCAATAAGTCATGAGAGGCCATACATTACAGTGATTTTTACAATGGTTAATAGGTATGGTTAGGCTTTATGTGAAGCTGCAATAGCAATATGATAAAAGTCACCAAGTACTTGAATTATATAACATTAATTATCAATTATAAAAGTAAAACACATTTATATAAAATTTCTATGTAACTAAAAAAAAATGTTTGAACGTTTTTTTTTTCCCTTTTTGGCCAACCTGTTGTACCAATTCTTTATGTTTGATTTCAGAAGCAGAAACTTGACACAGCAGTGGAGGACAATAATAAAGCAACACTAGCCATGCAAGGTAAGCAAAACATGACTCATCTAAAGCACCTAAATGCTAAATAACTGCATAAAGCATCTGAGCATTTTATATATTTGCATCCCTGGCATTTGAACCTGCGCCAACGTGAACAGCTTAGCAATGTCGTTTTTGCATGTTCATGAGATAAACCAGCCATTCCCAGCAGAGCCATAATTCACAACGGCACACTTTTACTTGCTCAGTAGTCCAATTTGTGTGAAAGTTTGGGGAAAATGATAATTTTAGCACAAATACTGCTACATGAGCTCCTCTATGACTACTTCTGTTCGGCGGCAGAAACGGAAAGGAACATTAAAATGCAGAGAGAGAAGCTGGATCAGGTGTCCAGGGAGAAGGAGGACCTGCAGAGGGATGTGGCCATCCGGCAGCAGCAGGAACAGGCGAAGGGTGAAGAGAGAGAGCTTCAGATGAAGAAGCTGAAGGAGAAGTTGGGCCGAGCAGAAGGAGAGCTGAAAAAAATCACAGAGAGAAGCGCTGAGCTGGAACAGCAGGTGGTGGAACTGAAAGCCTTCAAAGACCAAACCCAGGTGACCGAATGACATTTGTAATACATACACCCAGTAGCTCCTGCTGTTTTATACACTACTGCTCAAAGGTTTGGGGTGGGTAAGATTAAGATGGTATTGTTATTTGTAGCACATTAGAATGATTTCTGAAGGATCATGTGACACTGAAGACTGGAGGAATGATGCTGAAAATTCAGCTTTGCATAACAGGAATAAATTACGTTTTAAAATATATTCAAATAGTAAGCAGTTTTTTAAAATTGTAATAACATTTAAAAAATGTTACTGTTTTTACTGGGTTTTTTGATCAAATAAATGCAGCCTTGGTGAGCAGAAGAGAGTTTTTTGAAAAAAGAATCTTATACCAACCCCAAGCTTTTATATGTTAGTTTATATTTGAGCATGTTGGTCAAATGGCACATGAGTGACCAGAGGTTTTCTCTCACTCAAACAGAGTTTACAGTCTGATGAAAAGCTGGAGCAGATGACAGAGAGGAATAAGAAGTTGCAGGAGGAGGTAAATATGCTTTATTCTTTATATCATGCAGATAAACAGTGACTCCTCCTGGTTACTGTCAGGTCGTATCTGCTGTCTGAAAGGGACTTGAAAGGGTGTGACTAATTGATTTATTTGAATTAGTGTCTACCAGTTCAAAAGTCACCTCCGTGTTGCTAGGATGTCATGAGTTGTTGCTAGGGTGCTCAGGGTGGTTGCTAGGTGGTTGTTCAATGGATCTCCTACACTGACCACATGATTTGAGGTATTCGTGTTCATACAGTAGCACTGGTGTACGGTAAAGTTTAATACTTAGTGTTATGAGTTTGTTAGTGTTCAAATCACTTAACCTTAGTTAAGTCATTGTCACCTTAGCAGACATCAGTAATCATCATAAAAAAATGCGTGTGAACATGCCAGTAGCAACATTAAAACATATTTAGCATTTGTAGCTGAATAAACGCATTTACTTAAAGGGGTCATATGATGCTGCTAAAAAGAACATTATTTTGTGTATTTGGTGTAATGAAATGTGTTTATGCGGTTTAAAGTAAAAAAAACACATTATTTTCTATGCACCAAGAGCTTGTAACACTCCAAAGAGAAAGGAAAAATTGAAATCGCATCATATGTCCCCTTTAAGAGGCAAGCAGAGATTTTTCACTGTGTAACTGTACTATTACTGACATAATGGTTCAGACACACTGTTAATTCATGCATGAGTCCTGTACATCTGACCGCCTGCAGGCTGCATGTAAAGCATGTTCTGTGCGCTCATACGTGGCCTTACATAATCACCCCAACGACCTGCACTTATCAGAGGAGACTTGCTTCCTGGGGTTGTGCTTTTCACATACGGTAAGACTGCGTGAAAGCGTAACAGGTCTTCTTATATCACTGGTTCTCAATCAAATTCAGCATCTGTATTATATTGACTGACCTGCAGTGGTTTAGATGGTGTTGTTGGTTCAGTCTGTGGTTATATTGGGTGTTCGCTTGTGATGCGCTGATGCAACTGAAAATATTCAGCTGAAAATTAATTTTCATTTTCAACCATCCAATAAGGAACCTTTATTTTTAAGAGTGTTGTTCTAAACCCATATGATTCATAGAGCACAAATTGAGTTTTGGTGAATGCTCAAGCTTCTTTTTGCACTATATTCCAACTCCTTTGGAGACATACAGTAACTTTGTGTGTTATGACAGAGGAAATTTACTTAAATTTTGCTCTATTTCTTACACAAATATATCAAATTACTTAGAATTTTAGCACACAAGTCATATGGACTACTTATTTGTAACTATGACTTGATGTTATATGAAAACGAGGAGCATGAACATTTTTCAAAAGTTCTTTTTTGTTTTGAAACAATATTTTTTGGGTGAACTGTCCCTTTAAATGTATTTTTGGTTTCTGTATTGAAAAAGACAACCTTATTGTGACCTCATTTTGGACTTTTGTCCCCTTGAGGTTTAAAAAAGCAGAGCTAATTTAGTTTAGCCTGAATTTCATTCTTTTTTTGTGTCATTCAAGGATTGAAGTCTCTGTGCGGCAGCTTTAAAAAAAAAAATACACAACTGTACAAAAGTTTGAGATATGTAAGGGTTTTTCATGCATATGCTCACCAAGGCTGCATTTATTTAATCAAAAATACAGTCAAAACAGTAATGTTGTAAAATATTATTATAGTTTGAAATATATTTTAACATGTAATCTATTACTGTAATGCAAATCGGAATTTTCTGTATCATTACTCCAGGCATAAGTGTCACATGATCCTTCAGAAACATTTTAATCTGTTTATATATTTATTTATAAAATAAACAAGAAATAGAGGCTTTGCTCATGCAAGGATTTTAATTTCTCTGATGACACCAGAGACAAACATGTATCATCATGTAGAAACAGCTAATACAGGACGAGAACAGGCAGATGACGGAGAACAGCAGAAGGAGGGGGTGGGGTCAGCAGGGGGATGTCGAGAGGAGAGGGGCGGGGCTTGTCATCCTTACATAATGAAGCTGCCCTGTGTGATGCTTTTCAGAGCGTGTGTTTGTGCAAGCGTGTGCTGGAACGCCAGCAGAGTGAGAGCTCGTGCCTCTCTTTTGCTGCAGGGGGCCATAGGGGGATGTATTATTGATAGGGCACATTTGTTTGGAAAAAACAGGAAAGACACAGCAGCATGGATGTGACAGCGCTCCAACAGAACTACACGGGCAGCGTTTATAGCTCTCTGTGCCAGGTAAAGATCGCTCTTCTGTAGTGCACTTTGTAGGGATGCATGATACTGTATATCGGTGACCATGTTGGTATTCAGGAATGTCAGCATTTTTTTAAATATTAGAACTGGGTTAGGATGATATTGAAACTGGATAATATATGGGCTTATTTCATCCTATTTAAATAAATTTTAAGTTTTGGTGCCTGATTGCATTAGAAGCGTTTAGAAGTGGAGGTTTAATGTGAGCGCTGTTTGTTGTTGTTGTTGTTTTTTCTCCCAATGTATTGATTTAGAATTTCGACCAGTGTCAGAAATGAACTTAATTAAGTTAAAATATTAAGTTCCTAGAGTTTATTTTTAAGAGCAAATTTATGATTTTATAATCAGTTTTATAATCATAAAACACCCTCAGATACTTGAATTCAGTCAACACATTAAAATAAATTCCCCATTTGAATAAGTACGATAATTTATTAATTTTTAGTTTATTTAGTTGTATTTAAGTTTTTCAGCTAATATTTATATTTATTTCTGGTTTAAGTAACAAAGCATTTTTAGAATTTTAGTTTTCGATTTAGTTAACAATAACAACACTGCTTTTCCCAATACAATCCCTGCCGGTACGAGACTCGAACCCACAACCTTTGGGTTATGAGTCCGACTCTCTAACCATTAGGCCACGACTCCCCCCTATTATTATTTATAATTTTATAACCATAAATAATAATAACCATATGATAATTACATATGCTTTTATAATCAGTTGTATAACTATAAAACTGATATTTGAATTTATATTTAAATCAATGCTTTGAATTAAATTCTCCACCTGGCAATAATGTGTAAGGCTTATAAGAGAAGTTTGAGAAAAATATCAGATATTACGAATAAAAAGATTTATTACAAACAAGGCAGTTTTCCCCCCATTTTGAATTTTGGTGGCATTGTTTTCCCCCTGATATTGGCCATAATGTTGGATATTGGTAATTATCATAAAATATATGCATCACTATTTTTGTCACTATTTTTATTTTTTATGCACAGAAAGGAAAGAAAATACTTTGTGTCACTGTATCCCTTGCGTGTTATTTCTGTGAGTAGCTGTGGACATTGAGTTGAAGAATGCTTTCACGTGTCTGAGTGTGAATGAAATGGTTGTTTGATGACATTTCATTCATTGATGACAGTGTAATTCCTCCATCACGGAATCTCTCAGGCTTTCTGAATGTAAACACTGAATCACTCAGAGATATCAGCACAGGCGAATCTCTGCTGGTTCATAATAAAACATTGATGTTGGTTCTTGGATGAGCCAGTTGTGGGCGTTTGTGCTGAAGAGTGTAATTAACGCTTCAGTCTGATGCAGACCAGTTACTCACAGTGAGCCAGCACTGTGTGATGGGATTGAATTATGGGTCTCGTGGGAACAGTAATCTGACTTCACCAGATGTGATGGACTGACATGCTTTTTCTAAATATCTGTTGTGTATGCATTACTCCGAAATGTGATTTATCTTCTCCGCTCTCATCGATTGTACTAAACAGTTTTTTTTGTTTTTTTTTCGCATGACTTTTACAGGTATTTGCTAAAGCAAGCGTCACTATTATTACTCATGCTTAGGATTATGTATTTGCTCCAAACTCTTAGTTTTAAACTTTAGCATTTAACTTGCAATTTTTGTGCAACAGAAATAATTAGTACTTCAGTGTGTGTCTAGTTGAGGAGGGGTGTCTGATTTTACAATTTTTCGACGTTAAAAAGATATTAAAAAACACCCAGAACACCTTTGTGCATAATCCCATTATTATTTCATGACAATTTAATGCCTTTTACAGAGTGTTATTTTAGTATTATATATATTTTGGTATTTATTAATTAGCTTTTATTTTTATATTTTCAGTTTTTATTCTAATGTTACTTTGTGTTTGTTTCAGTCATTTTGTTATGTCCTTTTGCATTTTAAATATTACTATTTAACTATTTAGTTTTAATGTTTTAGTTTCAATAATTTTAGTACTTAAACATATTTTATTTCGTTTAGTTGCTGAGGCAAAATTTCAAATTTTCTATATTTGTAATTTCTAAATTTCTATATTGTTTCTGCTTTTTTTATGAATGAAAATGTATTAATGAAAGTAAAAAAAATAGTTTTAGTTAATGATAATTTCTGACATTTTAGAAAAATACTGTAATAAAGATATTTTGTGCAAGTGAGCATATAGTAAAGTAACCATTATGTAGAAATACACTATAAATTATTAATATCAGAAGCAAATTTATTATTTTAAAACCAGTTTTAGAACCATAAGTCACCCTCGGAAACTTAAGTTAAAAAGTACAACAAATGATACCATTATGTAGAAATACACTATGTAAATTTAAATAATATTTACACAATAATTATATATATATTTTTAACATTGCAGGTATGAAATTTAGATATTTTTTATGGTAATGAGAATTTGAACCAGAGTATGCTTGATTGTCATTAAAATAATTTAAGAACCCGAGAAAAGAAATGATAAAATAGTCCTTAAATAAGCGATTTGCAAAATACATTTTCTTGAAAGGTTTCATGACATTCACCCCACTATGTTTTGTCCAAAACCATTTTTCCTTAAACCTGTTTCTTTCACTTGATTTATTTGTCTTTTATCTCGTCCACCAGCTTGAGGCCCTGAAGCAGCAGAACTCTCAGTATCAGGAGCAGCTGAGTTCAGAAACGCAGAGCATCGACAGCCTCCGCAAAGAAATGTGAGTCTCCTGCTGACATGCACCCATGCTGTTCTCTTGATTGACCGTTTCATTATTTATTTAGGACTTTCTGACACTTTCATCGATAGTGATAGCATTGAGAGGACTGGAACTAATAGTGAGGAGAGGAAATGACATGATCCAGCCTCACATGGATTAGTTCACGTTTGCTGACCACTGAACAACAGCTGCAACAAATGAGCGCCATTTAACATCTTTCAACTGCATCTTATTACATTAATTGTCTGCTTAGTTGGAGCTATAAAGGATCTTGATCTTAATTAGTCAGTTAAGTACCATGTTGGCGTCATTGTGGTGATTAAATTAGATCTGTGAGTCATAGAATGACATCCCAAGTCCACATGGTCACAACAGCTTTGATTTCTGAATAGCAACAGGCGTAGTGTGCGTGTTCTGACATATTGAGCTGTTGTGCTCATGTGGGCGATATAAGTTTGAATCTGGCTCGCAGCATTTCACATTCAGGGTAATCAATAAGGAAAAAATGTAGAGCAGAACCTGATATTATACATCAGGAATTGACTGGATGATGAAAAATAAGAGGGTTTGGTGACACCTGCTGAACAAATAATAAATAAATTCCAAAAATCGCAATTAAAATATTTCATAATTTTTACTTTTCATATTTATTTAGCTATTTAATTACATTTTTAATGTTTTTTTTAATTTTTATTTGTTTGTTTACAAAATTAATTTTAAGCATTTAGCAGAAACATTTCGCTCAAAATTTCTGAATAACAACAATACACATTCTGACACATTGAGCGGTTGTGCTCACGTGCAATAAGAGTTTGAATTTGGCTTCAGGATAATCAATAAGAAAAAATATAGGGCAGAACCTGATTTGATCCATCAGTAATGTATGGTGAAAAGTGTCTCTATATGAAAGTGTCTAAAAAAAAAAAAAGGGGGTTTGGTGACACTCGCTAAAGAGATAAATACTTAAAATACCCAAAAGGTTCAAATATGAAATGTTTCATTTTTTATATTTAAGCACAGTTTATTTATTTGATTTACTTTAATGTAAAAATGTATTTAAGTTTATTTAAAAATGCCTTTTTTCAATTTTGAAAAAGTTTATATTGTTTTTATTTGTTTGCAAAATTACTCTACCTCAACTTTTGAATAACAAGCATAATGCACATGTTCTGCAGCATTTCACAATCAGGATAATCAACAAGGAAAAAATGTAGAGCAGAACCTGATTTTATACATCAGGAATTGACAAGATAATGAAAAGTGTCTTTGTAAAAAAGCTTTTGAAAAATAAGAGGGTTTGGTGACACCTGCTGAAAAAGTAATAAATAAATTCCAAAAATTGCAATTAAAATATTTCATAATTTTTACTTTTCATATTTATTTAGCAATTTAATTAATTACATTTTTAATGGGTTTTTTTTTTATTATTTGTTTACAAAATTTATTTTAAGCATTTAGCAGAAATATTTAGCTCAAAATTTCTGAATAACAACAATACACATTCTGACACGCTTGTGCTCACGTGCAATAAGAGTTTGAATTTGGCTTCAGGATAATCAATAAGAAAAAATATAGGGCAGAACCTGATTTGATCCATCAGTAATTGAATGGGTGGTGAATTTTGATTTACTTTCATTTAAAAATGTATTTAAATTTATTTAAAAAAGCCTTTTTTCAATTTTGAAAATGTTTACATAATTACATAATTATATAATTGTTTTTATTTGTTTTGCAAAATTACTCAACCTCAATTTTTGAATAACAAGCATAATGCACATGTTCTGACACAAAGAGCTTTTGAATCTGGCTTGCAGCATTTCACAATCAGGATAATCATTAAAAAAAAAAAAATGTAGGGCAGAACCTGATTTTATACACCAGGAATTGAAAAATAAGAGGGAAAATATATAAATATTTCAAAAATAAATAAATTCCAGAAATTCTAATAAAAACGGTTTCATTTTTTATATTTAAACAGTTTATTTTCAATTTATTTGCAATAAATCTGTCTGCAAAATAAATTGTAAGCATTAAAGCAGAAACCTTTAGCTCAAAATGCTTTTACAACCACAATGAACATTTCTGGTGGTGTAAAATCCAGTGGGGTCCATTCTGAATTCATGTTGACTCTGAATTGAAGCGCCACAAACCGAAGCTCAAAGCCTTTGTAACTCGAGCTGATCCGACACACTCCTTCAAGCTGCAGTTGATTGGCGTGTCCAGCGAGTGACGGCTCCAGTGATGCAAGCAGGTACCCATGTGGAGCCTCTTTTGAGCTCTTGCGCTGAAGATATTCGCAGCCGAACGTTTCAGAAGTGAGCTTCTCTCCTCCAGGGAGTTTTACGTAACCGCATCTTTCCAGCTACAGCTGCTGGTTTTCCGCCTGTCTAACGCTCTCGACTCCACGTGAGATCCCATGGAGTTCCTTTCATAACACTCTGCTGATCTTCTGATGCTCATGAATATGTATCATAGTGTAGCTTACAATATTATATTTTTTGCTATTTTTTTCTTTATGGAAAAAAGATGTTATGCTTTATTGAACACAGAATATTCTTTTTGAATTTGTGAGGCTCTTATAGCTTTTAGTTTTTTACGATGGTGCAATTTAGAGACTTGACCTTGATTTTCTGCTTGAGTTTTGAGCGTGCATGATTTGATTTATTCCTGCATCATAATGCACCCTGGGTAAAAATAGATTGGCTCATTCGTTACACACGAGGAGGATGACGGTGACCTTTCTGAAGTGTTTTTCTTTCTTTATTTTTTGAGCTCACATTTTTACTACCGCTTTTTGTAACCAAACGCTGTTATTTGTCAAGCGCTTGGTCTTTGAAATGTCTTAACTGCCGACGGGTCGTGATGGAAAGGAAAGATGATATATTAAACAATGTGCATTGCCTAGGAATTAGAGGAAAATAGGAAAGGATGCCAGGATTGACGTCAGGGTGGATTGAAGGGTTGAGGGCTTGTTGTCACTGCCATCAAAAAGAACATGAAAATCACTGTGCATTATAAAAAAAACAAAAAAACAACAACAGTATTTTATGCTCAGAATTTGTTTTTGACTGCTCACATTACATACTGCACATTATATGTTCTATATGCTGCAGAATATTATGATAATCAGTAGTATGCTGTTTATTTAGACTAGACTAAATGTTTAAATTAAATATGACCAATTAACTGGAAGTGATATATTTAGCTAAATATTAAATTTAATATCCAGATAATTTTTCATATATGAAATAGTAAGTCAAGTTGAGCGCACTGCATTGTGGGTACAGTATTCCACACAGTGTAGTCTGGTAAGTGCAGTACACTACTGTTCAAAAGTTTGGGATCAGTAAGATTTTTTTTCTGTGTTTTTGAAAGAAGTCTCTTATGCTCACAAAGGCGGCATTTATTTTAATAAACTGCAATAAAATCAGTAATATTGTGAAATATTATTACAATTTAAAATAACTATTTTCTATTTGAATATATTTTAAATTTATATTAAATGTGTTTTATTCCTGTGATGCAAAGCTGAATTTTCAGCATCATTACTCCAGTCTTCAGTGTCACATGATCCTTCAGAAATCATTCTGATATGCTGATTTGCTGCTCAAGAAACATTTATTATTATTATCAATGAAAACAGTTGTGCTGCTTAATATTTTTGTGGAAACCTTGATATATTTTCTTCAGAATTCGTTGATGAATAGAAAGTAAAAAAAACTACAGCATTTATTTGAATTAGAAGTCTTTTTTAATATTATAAATGATTTTACTGCCACTTTTGATAAATTTAATGTGTCCTTGATGAATAAAAGTCTTAAAATCTGACCGACCATGAACGTTTTAATGGTAGTGTAGGTCATCCAGGCGTTAAATGCACACAGAAAATTCAGATACTGCAAAATACTAGTATGCGAGTATGCTAGTCTTGTATGATAGTATTGGCATTAACTCTCTCCTTATCTCTCTCTCTGTGTAGTGAGGTGCTAAAACTGTCAGCCAATCAGAAGTCTCAGAAGCAGGTGTCACTCCAGGACGAGAAAGGGACGTTGGCTCAGGAGTTGGACGTCCACACACAGCAGAAGGTGTTTATCTGTCTGCTTCTCTACTTAGATGTTTCCTGTCAGCTCTTCTGAAATGTGTTGCCCTGTGACGTTCTCCATCAGTTTGAGGGATTGAGTTATCATGTATCATGTTTTTTTTTTTGGCAGCTTGGCAGCGAAGCTCTGACTAGCCCGCTGGAGATTACAGAGAGGTAAGTTCAATCAAATCAAGACGGAAGTCTTCAAGTGGAAGTCTATGGCAAAAATTGGTTTAAAAGCAAGAATTTAAAGCTTACTCGCCCTCAGGTCACCCAGGATGTAGATGAGTTTGTTTCTTCATCAGAACAGATTTGAAGAAATGTAGCATTGCATCACTTGCTCACCAGTGGATCCTCTGAAGTGAATGGGTGCCGTCAGAATGAGAGTCCAAACAGCTGATTAAAACATCACAGTAATACACAAGTAATCCACACCAATTCCAGTCCATCAGTTAACATCTTGTGAAGGGAAAAGCTGCTTATTTGCAATAAACAATTCCTTAAGGTAATTAAGGTGTTATAACTTTAAACCATTGCTTCAGGCCAAAATACTCCATAATCCATAATAATGTCTCATCCCCTGTTGTCTTCTCACATCAAAATCCACCCACATATTTGTGTAGAACCGTTTTGGACTGTTTCCGCTTGTAAACGTTGCTTGATCTGTGAGTATTTCTCTCTTGATTCAGACCAAATGACTTTTTCAATGGAAAAATCAGTATTATGGATAGAGGATATTTTAGCTGGAAGCAACCGTTTGAAGTTAAAACATGATGAATTTGTTTATTACAAACATGCAGCTTTTTGTTTCACAAGACATTAATTGATGGACTGGAGTGGTGTGGATTGCTTGTGTATTATTGTGATGTTTTTATCAGCTGTTTGGACTCTCATTCTGACGGCACCCATTCACTGCAGAGGATCC